ATGGTCCACTTCCTGTCCATTTGTATGTCTAACTTGTCCTAGTGAAAATAATCACTCATTCATCCTTCATTCATGGAATTTTTCATCCGTTACAACAATTAAACAATCGGACTTTTCCGCCTTTCCACAAACTATCTACGTCTCTCTCTCTCCCCCTCTCCCTCTCTCCAAACGATCGCTCTTCTTCTCTTGCCCCCGTTGCAGAACATTAAGCCCAGAACAATGGTAATTATTTTTCATTTCATCTCAATTTCTAAAAAATCAACAAATGTCACCACATATACAACATGTATACCTTTCTTATGGATACGATATTTCAAAATTTAAAAAAAAAACCGGAATACTGTTTATCCGGCAAAGCTTGCCTTCTGTTTTACAACGAAATTGCATGTTGGATAAGAGTGAATATCCAAACAAATTTAAACTATGAAACTGGATTGCTTTCTACTAATCATAATCATGATTTCAATTAATCCTGCTACTAATACAGAGTTCGAACAAATGCTTCCCATATTACTTATTGAAGATCCCAGCAATCGGATATGATGGCCATAGACAGTCTAATATAAGTAACGAATAGATACCCATAGCAGTGGTAACTTGTTTGAAGTTGACTTTCTCGATCAGTTCTACTACATTCATTCAAACGGACAGACTGTTACACCGAACGACCGAGCGAGATGGATTTATATTTTTGGACAAAAGTTTCCGGTATCATTTACTGGACTCTTCTGTTAACCAGATATGAGTTATTATCATGTGTCAATAATATCAATCTTATGGGATGACGTGACGTGGACGTATTTCATTCTGAAGGATTACTAAAAAAGTACATTATTAGCATTTAATGGTATATTAACAATAAGTTAGAAATTTCTTGGATAGAAAAGATGATATAAGTAATGATAAGATAAATGATACACTTATAATAATTTAGAAAGGGAAAAAAGACAACTTCAGCGTACTAATTTACGAAAATTATGCAAATTTCTTGAGCTATGATCGAAAAAGGAAAGTATACATACAATAGTAACGGGTTGGGTTCTGATGGCAAAATATTGTTAATAAAAACCGGAATTGAATTGAAGAATGCGTTTGCTTACCCATTCATTCATTTACTCATACACATTTTCAAATTTGAATTTATGCCCGGTTATTTTAAATGTTAAAGGAATATAGAGAGAAAAGAGAAGAGAGAGAGAGAGATGAAAAGAATATGAGATTATAGATGTGAGAAAAAATTAGATAGCCAAACAGTGTAAGATTGAAAGAGCGGTAATAAGTGAAGAGGTCATTTCTGGCAAGGACTGGAAGAGTAGGAGAAGGAGGAGGAGGAAAAGTAGGAGAAAAGGAAGAGGGAGGAGAAGGAAGAGGAGGAAGAAGTAAAGGGAAGAAGGGTTGAACCTTACTTAAATTAACCGCCAAAAATTGAGGAGGAAAATAGGGAATGAAGAAGGAAGAGGAAAGACAGAAGAGGAGAAAATGCCACCTGTCGTCAATTCATCAATAAATATATTTCATTATATACATATATGTTTCTTCCTAGATATAATAGATAGATAATTTTTTAATTACTAATGATTAATAATTATAATTAACTGTATCAAGCATGCATACGTGCAAGTGTGCATGCTTGATATAGATAGTAGCGGAAAGTGGAAAGAATTAATGAAATTGTAAATTGGAGTGTGGAAAAGCTATGTGCAATTAGTTATATTCCTAATATGGTAATCTAACTTACAGTTTATACTAATCTGTAAACTTCTGAAATTGATTACTATTGTAGTTAAAATTGCTAAGTGGAATAATTTATACGATTTAGTTTGCTTGATGCTAAAATGGTAAGTATACAGTTTTAGAAACATATAAGCTCATTAAGTTTCATATAAGAAATTAAATTTACTGGAAAAAAATCTTAGGTCAAATGATAATTTATTAATTGTTTGGACGATTTCTACCAGATACTCAGCAGATTTTCGTAATAAAATATACATATGCAATCAAATTGGAGAAACCATACAAAAGCACTCGTTCATACGAAGATTCTACGTGCTTGGGGATTACACGTATGTTCACGAAATAAAAATTACGGGTGTATTTGACATGGTTGCACGTGTCTGCGTTTATACGTCATGCAAGTCAGTGTCAATCGGTTCTAGAAAGAAGTGAAAATTACGAATACTTAAGATTACAATGTGAAATGAAAAACAAAAGATAAAGTAAAAATACGGGAATAAAAACAGAAATAATAATAACAATAATTAGTAATAAAAATGATACTGATTAACAATAATGATAGTAATATTTAATAATGTAAAAAATAATAATAATAATAATAATAATAATAATAATAACAATGACAATAATAATAAACGAATAATAATAACAGTAAATATTATTACTATTCTATCTTGCCATTATTTTTTTATTCCTTGAAATTTAGTATTACTATTTTATTGTTCTATTACATAGGTAAATATATCGACAGCTTGATTCAGTACTACCAATTCAAAAATTACACTAAAATTTCCCACAAACTAATCATACGTATGTATTATTATGATCAAGTGGCACATGACATAAATTACTTGTCGTTAATTTAATTAAATTTTTGCTAGCACTGCACAAAACTATTAAAATTCACAGTAGTAGGAGGACAATAACAAGATGAAATATGGAGATTAATTCAGGTGGTCCGATGAGTGCATTATTTTGTAAAATAAAGAGAATATGAAAAAGATAGAGGAATAGGAAGGAATAAAAATAAATTCTTGTAGCTATTATTGCTGCTGTTTCTGTTGATGGTACTGCTGAACAATCACGGTAGGACAGGACATGTGACATGGTCATGAGATGAAGAGATGTTACTGTGGTCTCAAAGATCAGAAAGATCGGATAGAAACATGAGGTAGAAAGGAAAGGAGAGCAGGAAGGAGAGAGGGAGAAAATGAAAGAAACGATGAAATAGTCAGTTAGAGGTCGAAGGTTAAAAGCTTGACCTAACCTATGGTCATCATTACCCCTTCTTCCCTCTTCAATAAGCATATATAACAAACACCATTAGGTACATTATCCCTGAAATGTGTAAACCAATGGATGCATCATCATCATTGTCATCGTCATCATCATTATAATCATTACGGTCGTCGTCATGGTCATCATTGCTATCATTATCATCACTATCATCATTATTATCATCATTGTCATTATCATTAAAGAATGTTATCAAGGGTAAGTAATATTATTGCAGGATGTAGTGAATATGAAGCATTATTAAGATTATCAAATGGTGTGACCTGAAAATGCACTGGAGATGCGGTAAATTCATGATCAAGAATGGTGTGACCAGAAATTGCACCGAAGTTATGGTAAATTTAGGATTAAGAATTCATTGTTTCAAAATTAGAAGCAATGAGAAGATAAAAAATGTTGCATTATTTCTTATCATTTACTTAACATGATGATAAAATACAAGCAAACAAAGATTTTTTTTTTTTTTTGAATGAGAAGAAAAATGCGATATTTGTGACCAATCAGTATTATCTCGAATTTAGCTTTTTAATTTGATGCATTCGCAAACACTTGTAAAATATGTTTGATTCAATTCAGAGTTTTGTTTTAATCTTTGATTTAATTTCACCATTTCACTACGAGCTAGTTACATTTTGATTGAAGTGAATTAGGCATAAAGTAAAAAAAAAAAAATAGAAAAAAGAACACACTGGGAAGACATAATCAATTACATTATTACATTATTGAGAAAAGTTTAATGATAATTAATTTCTGAAGGCCTATTCGACACTATAATTATTCTGTGATTAAACTCTCATTCAGATTAAAACAATTAGTACTTTGTCATTCCTATCAACACTTTCTAAGTGCTATCAGATCAGATTTTGGGAAAAAACCTAAAACATGGGAAGTATACGAACTTCCCAATTCATACCTGAGATTGACCACTTAATCACATGCCGTAAAGGATTTGAAACGTGGAGAGGAGAGAGAAAACGTGAGCATTCACAAACTGTAGATATTAGCTAGGATCATACACACACTTTTCTTCTGGTCTCTAAAGATGTCTATGCTTATGTATGTGTAATTTCAATTCCATTTTAAATCATTCAATAAATCAGGAACTAATTCAATGAAAAAAGCATTGGTGGCTTAAAGCCTTATTTAGAGGTATATTTTTTGGTCATTTTGAATTTTTATGACCAAACATAACGAGCCATTGTTTTTGCCGCAGTGCAAGACAGATAAAAAAAATTAGTTTTTAAGCGAGTGATAGCATATCATATCCATACATAACATATATAGATAACATATGTGAGAAAAACATATCATAACAAAACAATAGAAGCAATGTGCCACACAGCTAAAATTTAACAATCATCTTCGTTCACTTGATAACTGAAATCAAAGATTTTCGCTGGAACAAGAAAAGATCTCACCAAAGGAAAAAAACAACATTTGTCCCTTGAATAGAGATGGTTAAAAATGAAAAACTGCAAAAGCTTAAATATTCAGTTTATAGTTTTGGGAAGTATTTGATAAATGTGATGAAAAGCTCGAAAATAATCAGATTAGAGGTCTGGTTATTTTTTTTTTTAAATCTCTTTTATCAGAAATAAAAGCACATTACAAAGAAATAGCATTTCACTTTGAAAATATGATAGCTGTGATGGCAGCGAAACAGTGAGCAAAATTACCGGTTCACCTGGGAGAAGAATAGAAAAAAAGAGACTTCATGAAAAGACAAAAGTAAAATAGTGTTTACGGAATGAGTAGTTACATTCATAGTTTTCTTAAAGCGATAAAATAAAGATCACTGGAATGGACAGTGACAGTGAAAGGTCAAAAGATAAAGGTGAAGCATCATTTAATTAAACTGAAAATCTCCAAAATTAACTCGAAGTTTTCTTGATTAAATGGAATCTTTTCCAATTGGAAATGCTGCAATTTTGTTCACATATTCAAGTAAGCTATTATAGCCTCAATGTTCATTCATCATTCATATTGACCGCATTGTTAGGTAAATATTCAAACGAACTATTTCGACGGGAACTCTCGCTCAGTTCATCCATACTCGTTCTCCTGCAAATAGTTCTAAATTTATACCTCTACAAAGTGAGATATTTTGAAACTGCACCTTATATGCTACTTGAATTAAATAAAAGTTCTTTAATTTTCCGCTAATCATATAATCTTACTCAATTTTTGTTAGAAACTGAGCCTTTAAAATTTCTTTCAAAATTCAAATTTAACTTAACCTCGAATAGAAGAATTCAACATCACTTTCTTCCAAAGCATTTCTCTGCGCTTCTTTCTGAATATTGGCTCTTACTGCTGCTTCCATTAACTTTTCATAATCATCACTTACTAAACCGCAACCCTATAAAAATTTTCACAAATAGATCGATTTCTTACAAAAACAGTTTAATTCCTAAATCATAAAATGAAAATGATAAGTGATGGAAAATAATATGTGAAGAGATGTGAAATAAACCAAGATCCATGGATATTCCAGGATTTGCGAAGCCGAAAATCGTTCTTCAACATCCAGCTGCAATAAGCCCTGTATAAGGCCTTTGGCAGAATACGAAATTTTATCCCAAATAGGTGGCGGAAATGAGAAACGTCCACTCAAAATTTGTTCGAATAACTGTTCCTGACTACCACTAGCACTGAAAAAATTAACTCTTAGTAGTCATAATTTAAATGAATTTCTAAACAAAAAAAAAGTAAATAAATAAACAGCTGCATATGTCAAACGATTACTTTAAAATTCAATATATTCGCAGAAATTGCAAACATTATTTTAATTTAATTAGAAACACAATGCACCGGCACTATACCATATTTTTAGTTGCATATAAGTGAAAAAAAAAATTAATCCCGTCTGTAATATTTTCATGTTGAAATTTCACAACTTGCCTTTGGAAAGGTGGAAAACCACACAAAAGCACATAAAGGATGACGCCTGCCGCCCATAGATCAACCTTATAATCGTATCCAAGTTCTGCAAGGACCTGAAAATAAATGACAGTTAACCACCACTGTCGAAAAGAACTTCGGATTCTCAAAAATCAAACAAAGAGACTTCTTTTCCTAACTTATTTCGTTTCTTCCTAACATGAAGCATATCAAAACGAAAGGATAATTTTACTTCAGGTGCAACGTAGGTTGGTGTGCCACAGATCACTCTCAATGGCTCGCTAGCCATTTTCACAGCCAAACCGAAATCGGCCAACTTCAATCGCAGATCACCCGTGAGTGGACAAGTATAAACCTTTAAAAACTTCGGAAACCTAGACATAAAGAAGAAGGAGAAAAAAAAATCTTTGGAAAGTTCAGGATCAGTTCATTTACATCTTCCAAAAATAAATCAATTGATCTGATTTTAGAAATAATAAATTTTCAATAGTAAATTTTTTTTTCTTTTCATTTGTTTAACAAAAGCGCAACCGATCGATTCAGTTTGCAGTAAGAATTCACTTAAACTAGTAACAAGAAAAGAATACGTTTTCAACTTACTAGCAAATTTTCCGGCTTAACATCACGATGAACTATATTTAAATTATGCAAATAATCAAGCGCTGATGCCAGACAATTTAAAAGACCTGCAGCACATCGTTCAGTGACATGACGTACCTGACAAAGGTATTCAAACAAATCGCCACCCTGAAAGTTTATCTCACGATGATAAAACGTCAGAAATAAAACGCTTTAGTTTCCATAAAACAGAACTATGAATTAAATGAAGTTAACCCGTAAAGACCCATAGAAATAATGCGTCTTTCAGTTATTTTGCAGGCTATTATCAGATCACAATAAATAATAGTGAAAGATGTATCATTACTCAACTGTCATATGCTATCGCTTAACAATCAACATGTCTCTGTTTGACGAATCCAACTTACCTGAATAAATCGTTGAAGAACTGGGTTTAGAGAAAGGAAAGAAAGAAAAAAAAAATCGTAATTACCGTAATAAGCTCCAACGATAAGTAAAATGATCCTTCAAATTCCCAACAATCGTGCATTTGTACGATAAACTCGTGTGAAATCCTTCGCATTATGGCAATTTCTGACCTAATCAATTCTTCTTTTCCGATAACGTTTTCATAGCTAATTACTTTCAGTGCTTTTCTCTCTCGAGTTTTCCTGAAAAACACGAGGAACAGGAGTAAAAGATGTGAAATGTGTAAAGACTAGAATCATAAAAAAACAAGTAATGTTCTGTAGAAAATCTGTAATTTTTTTTGCATAAACAAAAGCAGAAAATTAGAAAGTTATATAAATAAAAACTGTTCGGAATAAGAAAGTATACCTTAATTAGCAAGGCTAATTTCCATTTCCGCTTTAAAAAGCATCTATAGAAACAAGTAAGGTACTCAGCATAATAAATAATAAAAATGACTAAAAAAGAAGTTACATAACATGAACAGAATGAGAAGCAAAATTCATACTTGCACATTGTTTCATAAACTAAAGCTGTATTACCATCACCAATTAATCGAACCAAGTGTATTACGCTATCAAGAAGTAAAGGAAGATGCCGACCTGGAATTAACAAAATTAACTACACCGTAAAATACCATATTTCGGAAAAGTATTAAGACATACTCATTTGCGAATCAGAAACCACACTTCCAGCACGATCTTCTCGTAATGTTTCATTTCTTGCCGGCATTCTTCTTCGGGGTGGTTTACCACGGGGTGCACGTGATCGCAAACTATAAAGTTTTTTTGATTCTGAAAAAAAATGTCGTAAAGTTGAGTTGGTAGATAAAATTTTTATATGTTATTTTTTGAAGAAATTAACCGTTTTGGAGCAAAAACTTTTACAAAATGTATTATGTCATCAAGTAGTTGATATGTGTCGCATAAAAAGATATAACCAAAAATCACCTTCAGAAACAACATAGAAATCATCAACGCTCATTTTTTCCTTTCCATATGCAATAAACACATCATCTTCACCGAAAAAGTCTGCCAAACAAGTAACCTAAATATGTCATTATTAGATCAACCACTTTTAACGATGGAATTTTAGTAATTTAACCAAAACCTTGCTTCGTTTTCACTCTATATAACCATCCTAAAATTAGTTAAAGAATCCTATTTTTGCATTTTTTTTATCATTGTCTTACTCTGTATTTCATAAATTGGACAGAAATTACTAGAAGGCAGAATAGGATGCTGACTGATTCTAATTATAACTCAAAATACAATATTTTTACACTAATCAAAGCATATAATAAGACACCTGAAACAACATGGAGTGATTAAAATAAAACCAAATTCATTAGGATACTAACTTCTTTGCCATTAAGTGCATATAATTTTCGAACTGCGCCACTATCAAGCTTAACCACAGTTGTTATATCCTGGATCACCTATAAATAATACATCGCTCTGAATTACCCAAATTTCCACAAAAGCTTACCTCTGCAAATGTAAAATTTTTAACAAAGGTCATCTTAAAGACAAAAAAAAAACGAAAGAAAAAAGAACAACTAACTTGAAGAAAAGACCTTGCCGTGCGTTTATTCAATAAATGACGCACAACACGACGTGGTTTGACGCCATTTCTAATAACAGTAATAATTCTTGGATAAACAAAATCATTTGGTTCCTGAAATATTATGAGTGCTCATGTTTATAAAGTCTAACAAATATCTAAGAAAAACAAACCTGCTTCAAGGGTGAATTCACCATCAAAGGTGTTGGAGAAGAACCTGCCAGCGATATACGCCAAGTTGGTTCGCGAGCATTTTCGTAGTCAACCCTTTTGTATATCTCCGAACTGAAGTTGTTGAAATTGTAAAACACCATAAAAGTGAGGATAAAAGAAGGAACTATTGAAATAAAACACTACATTGTGAGATCCTTTCATTTTGATTTTCAAAAACTGAAATGCTAACATAGTTCGTCAATAAAAGAAGAAATGACCACATAGTTTTCCTTGCCGACTGTTTCTGGATTACTTACCTTGAACAAACATAACTTTCGCCATCTTCAAATTCTTCTAACGAAGATAATTTATGAGAACCATCGAGAGAGAAGATATACCGGACACCGTGAGGCAAATTGACAGCATCAGTTAGTGTTCTCGTCAGGTCACCAAGAAGAGCTTGGAAGGATCGTACTCGTTCCACCGATATTGCGTACCACATACCCTATAGACGTTAATAATGAAACTACTTTAAATAAAAAGATAAGTAAGATTAAAGTTTCTGATTTATAAATCATCAAAAAAATCCAAAAAAAATTTTTAAGTCTCTTTTTTCTTTGCCCTATTATTATCGAGAAAACTACGTCTGCTTATTCCGTAGTTCAGCATCAATTAATAGCATAGGGCAGGCCTCAGCCATTAGATTTCTTTTTAAAAACTTGTTCAATAACGAATCAGATCTGGTTGAGATATTAGAATAAATAAGTTGCCTTAAAATACTGATCACCATTTCGATAAAACCGAACACGTTTGGCTTTACTACCAGGAAAGCAGCGGAAGGGCACTGGTGTCCCCGGATTGTGTGAAATGGTGGATACAGGTTGTTGCCTGATAGATATAGCTGAAGGAAGAACATCCGACGCTGAGGTACCTCCAAAAAACCATCATTTTTTAATCCTTTTTATTCTTTATCCATCATTTTTTAACAGAATCCCGAAACAGTTTAAATTTCCTACTTATTTTCGAGGTTACTTTCAAAATTTTTAATATTTTGATAAACAAAACGATACAAGACAAAAAGATTCAGAAATCCACCTCTTAGAACATTCAATCTCTATCATAATAAAAATTTATTTAAAAGTTTACTGATAAGAAAGCAAAATAGGTGCAGCTGGTTACACCTTCCCGCAATCATGGTCAACCAAATTCATAAAACATAAAATTGCATCAGTATAAAAAGAAGGAAAAAAAATGAATCAATAATGGAAAAACAAACAGTTTAAGGTCAAGAATTTCGCAGGAAAACTCTAAGTTGTTTTTTTTAATAACAGAAAAATGATTCAAACACTGGGCTTACTATCTATATATAAATGTTTCAATATTCAGCTTTTTTTTGTTGGAGAGAAGACATAAGAGCTAATTCTTTAGAGAACTATTTCTTAGCTTTTTTTCTCTAATTTTTTTTTTTAGAAGTCTAATCAGTCACCTCGAAAAAACTAGAAATTAAGAACAAAAAAGTTTTAAACAATAATATTTTGAACAAAAATACAATGAAAGAACGAGAAAGAACAAACAAATGAATATACTAGCTGTTATAAAGACTTTTTGAGATTTAAATTTAAAAAACATTTTTGTAGCTTTAAATTTACGGCAAAAATTTAAAAAATATATAAATATCATATTCATAATCTCATTTTCACTGGATGTAAGTTTAAACAAAAAAAAATTAAAAACATACTGGCTGTCATATCTGTTGCAGAAATGGTGGCGGTTCCACTGCTGCGAGACATATCACATTGTGATTGCTCCATAGCGGTGGTATCGTTAATGGATGTTGGTGAATCTTGTGATTCTGATTGTGTTGATTCAAATGCTGTTATTGAAGTCGTGCTATCACTGCTACTTGTGCAACCATTCAATGGTGCATCGTATGCCAAATTCTACAGAAATGTAGACCGTATGTATAATGATTACAGGAACTTGTAAATGATTTCTGATGATATTCCCACCAATTTATGATCTAATATATTTGAATCGCTTTTTGATCTATGACGATACTCATCTCCGATTTGTAAGCTTATGTTTTCATTACTGTTAAATTATGTTCAGTATGTCTTAGGTTTCTTTACTTTTTTTCCTATATACTGTACAGAAATATGCAAACAAGTATTTATGTTATTAATCGTTTTTCGTCCTTTCTCTCATCCAAATAACAGCCACTAATTAGAGACTTGCTTACTGGTGATTTACTTTATATTTAAATTAGTTTAATGGTTTAAAAGCCGGCGCTGATGTAGGCTCAAATCTAGGATGAGTTTCAAACGATGCAATCTTTACGATTTGAACATGATTCATAAAAATTATTTTTTCATTTGACTAGTTTTTGAATATTTTTTAATAACAGTAAAACGATAATCCCAATTTCTAAGGAAGGAAACTGGGACTGGAAATGGAGAAAATTCGAAAATAGTGAGATTGAAGATTGCAATAGTTGAATGGGATGAAAATGTTACGTGGTTGTGATTTGAAAAGAAAAAATTTTTACATGATACCCGTCTGATTGGTGGATTGCTTCGTGAACTATGCGGAACGGCATGCAAGCTTTCCAAGGCTCTCGTTTCGTGACGTCGACGAGTGGAAAGTCGTGGTAGAGTACTTCGTTGTGACATAACCTTGCTCATGACTACATTTGGCATTCGTATATCTTTGCAGAAAATGAGTCTGAAAAAAAAAAAAATGAAAAGAAATGCACCGAAGAAAATTACGATATATGCAAGTCTGGGAGATCGAAAAATGCAAGTCTGGTTCGTAAGAGAAATAAAGCGGGATTCACTGAACGAACGTAACCCGATGCAACAAGATATCGTATGATAGAATTTTTATTCTTTTGTTCCTTTATAATTTAATTTAGGTTCAATAATTATGTTTCATAAGGCATTTTAAATAGGATGTGAAATTTCCTGAAATTGCTTTAATAATGAAAGTATGAGAAAAATAGAGATCAAATTTTATGGAGGTAACAAACAAATATTTTTAACGAACTAAAAATGCAATAATTACGGCATTTATAAAGACCCTTTTCATTACTACCTAAGATAAATGAAATTCACGATAACAAATTTTCCAATTTCATCCAGTTACTCTCTGCCGTGATTATGTATTTATAAGCACCAACTTTAACTCGGCCACCAGCAAAGAAGAAGATAAAGATGTTTCCTTTTCAATGTTACCTGGAAGAAAAAAATTCAAATCATATAAAAAAATTTAAAAGAAAAAACTTCCTATTATGTAGACATCTTCTTTTCAAAAAAAAAAAAATGCCCGATAAAAACTGATATATGCCTTCTTCTTTGTACGCTTTTCTTTTTTCTAATCAATCAGTCAACCCCACAGATGATAAGATAATGTTAGTGTCTAAATAGAATAAAATTATAATAAAGTATAAAAGGAAAAAAACAGAACATAAAACAAACGAAAAAAGTGAAAACATAAACAATCGGAAGAAATCAATAAGTTCACATTTCGGGTCGACATACACTATGATTAAATGACAGTACTTGATAAAATAAATTTACAAAAAAAAAAAAAGAGATTTGCCGAATGGAAAGGCAGCAATCAAATTATCTATTAAAACTTTTAATTTGCAAGTAAAAACAACAATAATATGTTTTAATTTAACAAGTCTTGAATAATCTCTACTACTATTATACTGAAAATCGAATCCGATTTCAATCTTCAATTCCAGTTTCTAGAGTATTATAAAAAAGATTAAAATGATTGTATCATATTAGCTCATATCTTATTTTACTAATACTTGGTTTCATGTTAATTCCTTTACATCTAACACAAATTTATATGATGTAAAAGTAATCTGAATAAGGTATATATCGAGAGAAAAATATTGAAATTCAATAAACACTTTCTTTTATGTATGATACAAGCGAAATGTCAAACGAACTAATGACCTTCAACGTTGTATTACAATTCCGGAAACATAATATAACCAGTAGGCAGGAATAAAGAAAAGGATAAATGTATAAGATGAGTGTTCAATGAATAACATTTTATCAGTGCAAATTAAGCAGAAACTGTTTTTTCTTTTTTTTTTAATAATAAAAAAAGTATAATTATGTTACAAAAAAGTATGTCATAATTTTTACTAAATTTTTGTTAATATTAAAAAATGAATGAAATTTGTTAAAAATGAAAGAGAAACCTATTTGTGAATTCGTTTCCACGTTAGTTTATCTGAAAAAAAAACACACACACACACACACAAACACACTTCGCAGAAATAATAATTTATACAAAATTGTTAGAAGAAAAAATATTGTCTCCTAATTTCTCTCACGAAAATACACAATTTTTTAACATCGTTACATTGCGCAAATTGACACTTTTAATAATGAATTTTGAGAGAACGGAGAGTGAGAGAGAAACGGAGGAACGAGAAAGAAAAGAAAATAATACGGAAAGATTACATCAAATAAAGCTGTAGAGATAAAAATAAACGAAGAGAAAGAGTTTAGAAATATGTTGAAAATAAAAAAGTAAGAAAAAAACAAAGTGAATAGATAGTGATGAGTAACGAGACAAATATGTCAAAGGCTGTTTAAATTTAACGCAGCCTAGTAATGATACATTAGCTTGCTCATCAGTTACAATTTTAAGTTATTGTAGATATTCATAATGTGAATTATTGAAATTTAATTCATTTTTTAATTTTAGTGTAATATTCACAGAAAAATTTGTTTTATCTTTCATATAAATAATGATTTAGAAATCTCAAATGAAAAATTGATCACAATGTGAAATGTATTTTTTTAAATAAACTGTAAAATTAAAATTTTTAAATTAAATTAGAATAAATTGCAAAATAAATAAAATGTAGAAAATTGTAACAGTAAAAAAAATTATCAAAATTGTTGAATAGAAAAAGTAAGCAAGGATAAGATGATACGATGTAGAATTCCTTAAGCAACTAAAAAAAAAAGTTTTAAAATAGGTGTTAATCTATCAAGTAATAATGAGAAACAAAGAATTCTATATGAGAGAAGAAAAAAAAAGTAAATTCACTTTCAATATTTTGTAGAATAAAGAAAGAGCTTTTCATTGAAATGTTAGATTAAATAAAAACAATGTGAAATGAGAGATGATCAAGAGAGAAAAGCTTTAGTTTTTTTTCGAAAAGATTTATTTTTATAACTTTGTCAATTTTCCCTTTAGTTTTTTCTCTTTTTTTGTTTTCATTTTAATGAGAAACAAACAATTTTGCCTTTTCTTTTATTTTGAAGCATTCATAACTTTTTTTTTTGTGTGATAAAACAAAAATTGATAGAAAGTAACAGTGTTCACTTCTTTTCCTTTCTCTTTCTCTCTCTCTCTCTCTCTCTCTCTCTCTACGATGGATATCTATTGTATGTAAAGAGCTCCAACTAGTTTGATTTAATTAATTTAGTCTTAATTTATAACTCATTAATCAATTTGATATTAAAAGAAATAATAATTTAAAAAGATGGAAGTAACTGTTATGCACTTTTCCCTGAGTTTATCCTTTACGTGACAACAAAAGGAAGAGATAAAATATTTCATACTTCACTAAATTCATTCTTTTAAGTAAATAAAATAGAAATGGACAGAAAGAAAAACTTAATCCTTCAAATAACGTATTGATGATTCAGAAGGGAGCGAAATTGTCACGCGTCATCGATGCATCGATGTAATATGTTTTTTCTATTGTAATAAACATTGTAAGCAGGATGAATTGAATAAGCAAGCATACGTAAAATATACATTTCAAATTGTTATAAATTAAATATTGAAATAATAAGCTCACTTGAAATATTGATATTTTAAAAGTAGAAAAATTTTACGTAAAATGAAATACAATAATCATAAAAACTTTTTTTTTTTTTTTAAAAAAAAAATGTCGTTTATTCATTATAAAAAGAAAATAACTTGAAATTAAACAAATTATCAGTATCATATGCGTTCTCGTTTACAAATATCTCAAATGAAACGCTTATTTGAGAAAATATTTTGCCAATTTCTTTTATCATATACGGTTATTTAATTTAGAAACGAAGAAGATAAAAAGTATGATGGATGGATGAATGTGGCGCAAATTGTAATTGTAATTATATCATTTGTGAAAGAATGCAAACATTAGTAAGTTAAAAACAAAAAAAAAAAAGAAATAAGATATATGCTTGTCGCAATATCAGAATTATGAATGAAAGAATGAAAAGGGTGAAGAATTGACTAGTACGTATCGGATGTTTGTTTGTCAATTAAAAAAAAGCCAACTGAGAAAGAGGGAAGGAGAGAGGGAGAGAGAGAGGAAGAAGAGAGAATTGATGTTGTAAAAAGGAATGAAGGACAAAAATGAATGGACCTCCATAATTTTCCATTAATTGACAATTGCGCTGCTACAAATAGTTAATGTTGGATAAGTTCGCTGAATAATTTTACACCTATTTTTGCAATTATTACGATTATTAATTATTATAACAATTTATTATTATTATTATTATTATTATTATTATTATTATTATTATTATTATTATTATTATTATTATTATTATTATTATTATTATTATTATTATTATTATTATTATCATTACAGTTTCAAATTCATACTTTAATTTTACACTTTTTCTTTTATTCTTTTTCACTGAAAATATGTCTGAGATATTAACTCTTCTTAAAATGATAATAAAGTGATGAATAGAAGATATTGGCTGCTTTATGCTTCAATCTTATAAACCAAGTAATGAAAGCCAAATCACACTCACTAATACTTAAATCAAAA